CATAATGACAAAATAAACTAAGCATCCACTGGAAGGAATCCCAATATCTGCAGACGGATCCGTTTCGACCTTCCAGGCCTCATCAGTGCAGCTAGGGTATAGACCCAAACGAAACGTTCGACCAGCTTAGGTAGGGCCAAAACTAGTCCCACGACCACTAATGATTACAGAGCCAAACCAAGGCAATATATATACACAGCCCAGGTGTGAATGCAAATAGTGGAATACAAGCTATGTGGTTATATATATATTGATATAATTTTTATTATTCTGCTTGAATGAAATAAAGATTTATGGAATAAGTAGAGTAATGTCAATAGATTATTTTCGCATACGTTTTTTTTTTCTTGTCCATTTACCATATGTTCTGATCATATTTATAATAATATTATAAAGGAAATATGTGTTTTCATATTTATATTTCCCATATAAAATTATCAATAAATTTATAATTGCATGCTGTACGTTTTTAAAAGCCGTTTCATGCTTCTTTTATATTCATAAGCCCGAGAAAATCACTCAACTTGCTAGGCATATTTCTTTAGTTGCATAACTAGAATTGTGGAAAGAAACGTTTCCACAAATTGATTCCCATGGTACTCTTAAGAAGGCGAAGCTGACACAAGGTTTGTGATTTCTTGTTTGTTTTATTTCCATTTCCGATACATTACTGCCAAGACAGAAGTAGGTCAGATGCTAAAATAGATGAACTAGCTGTTTCCAGGTACAAACACGTGCGCTGGAGCGCAGTTCACCATTTCACGTGTTCACGTCACCTACTTCATGAAACCTGTAACTTCGAATTGTCTGCGCTGGCTGCTGATCATGTTTATAAAATACAAAAATAAATGGATAGTAACTTTTATTAGGCCTATATGATTTCATGTGTAATGTAAATAAATATGTATAAATTATATATATATATGTATGTGTATTATAGGCTTATATATAATATATATATATATATATATATATAGTTGTTTCTAGGTATATCATTTATGAACTGCGCAGGGACATCAAAGAAAACTAAAGATTTCAAGTGAAGAATGATAATGTGTGTATTATTCGTTTATTTCTTTAATTGTGTTTCCCTCAATTCTCTTGGTATGTTTTATCCAAACTCTGGAAGCTGCAAGAAAAATAATTAAGTTTATTGTATAGAAACATCGGATTAAATAATGTAATGATTATTGTTTTAACTAAATTATGAAATATATTTCAGATGGTAACAACATTCAATTAAAATCAAAGATACATTTTATTGACCATAATTATTAAATTATAGTATGAAAACGCAACAAAAAGAATAGCATGAAGCACATACTAAACTCCATGGAAGAAAATATGTTAGAAAGATAGCAAACCGGAAATAAAAAAATTAAAAAAAATACTTAGGCCTATGATAAACCGATTGACTAACTAATTATAATTATATAGGGCCTAGCCTAGGCATATTAAATTTTGCGTTTTCGCAACTCCTTCGGCGCTCCATATATTTGATCGAAATAAACCGCGACCGAAATTAGGCGCGACCGAAACGAAGCCCACACGCTATAGTACAGTTTGCTAGGCAACAGAACTTGATTGCACCTTTCTTCCCAAATGTTCATGTAAATTTGCATATTGTTAGCTAACCAGCTGAGTGTATTCCTTTGTGAAAATGAGTACCGCGGCGTACTCATTTTCACAAAGCATTTGCATCCCCTCTTGGAAAGAGGTGACTTCGAAATAATTGTCTTCATATCTTCGATAATTAATCACCGTAATTTAGCTTACACGTATATGCATGGAGGGAGCATTTAAAATGTACAATAATCATTTCACTACCCGACAAACCCCGAACTTTATTCATGCATTACATAATAGTTTCATCTTGTGTACTCTAACATCACTGGCGTAAGGTAACAACCAACTGGCAGACCATTTCCGGTCACACATTACTCTCCATAACGCAGCACCCCCTAGTTCCAAATGTCCTCTGGATCGTCACTAACACATTACAATTTCTTCTTGATTAAACTTTCCCGTAAGTTTTATTCAGATCAACTGACCGGTTTTTGAAATATCCGGTGTAGACTGACCTTAAATCATTTTAATTGGTCCTCATACGCCACCCAGATTGACACTAAATATTAGGAGGAACATCCTTGATATATGGCTTATGCTTTGGCAAAGCACGGAAAAATTCTAAGCATGGGAAGTGACCATAAGGTGACGGCTAGAAAAAAATAAATAAACAGTGAAAAACATAGGAAAGATGTACAAAAACAATGGCTTTTCCCAGTACTGCTCGGTAAAGCCAATAATGATAATGAGTAAACAATAGTAATATTAAAAATGAAATTCAATTTCAAATACAAATAAAAATTTATATTTTACATAACATGATCAGATAATAATAATAATAATAATAATAATAATAATTAGTATAAAATAATTAATAATAATTAAATAATCAATAGGCCTAGTATAGAGAGAACAATAAATTGGAATAAAATCGGAAACAGGTAAAGAAAGTTTATTTCATTCACCATTTTCAAAATCTTTTTTATGAATGACAAATTATGGGATACACGTCGGTTGTTGATGACAACGTTAAGAAATCGTTGTAAAATGTAAGCAGAATAATTTTGAATGGATGATAAAATTATTTAATGACTAATCTACCAAAACACAATACGAGAGTAGGGTCTATTCCTAGATTTAAAGCAACATCAAAGCGGAAAACCATGGTGGATGGGTATATTGTTGATTTACTATCCCCAGATCGATAAGTGAGCTTTAATTGCTCAGTATAATATTTATACTACCTTCAAAGAAAGAACATCTGTTGTTTTCTACAGGCTTGTAGGCATAATATAGACTTGTTTTAAATCAGGCACAGCACATTGTTATAACACACCTTTCGATTGATTGAACATCAATGCCGATGAACAATTCAATTCAGTTCAAAACAGGTGTATGCATTCTTTTTATTTCTAAATTCAGATAAATCTATTAAGAGATGTCCAGTGTAATATAAGCAGGCCCGTAGTCAGGAGGTGTTTATGATTCGGGAAACCCCTTCCCCTTCTCCATCCCTTTTCTAGCAAACCCCACTCATTTCTGGCGAAACCCCCCCCCCCATCGAATTTCTCAAACAGGTCCAACACAACTAATGCACTGTAGGCCCACCAAGACTCAGACAGAATGTTTTGCTGCAGACAATCAGACCGACTCTGAGCACCCGGTCGCCTGTGGCAGGGTAAATGTGAAACCTGCTCCTTTGTTCGCACCACCTAGATAGGGGACCGGGGCTGCACTAGGGCAGAGGCGGATAGTTGACCCTTTGAGACCTAGCGTTGTTTTGCCACCACACCCTATTATATAGTAAATTCAACATCTTTTCTATAATTTTATGTAAAGTGCATAGAGGCACTGTGCAATATAGCCTAATTTTAATCATAATTAGACTTACTATATCTGTCTATATCTACAGAACATAGGGCTTTTCCTCATTGCCAAATGAGAAGTCATGACCCTCAAATTCACAACCGAATCTGGATCGTGTAATAGTGTAACATAAGCAGGCCCGTAGTCAGGAGGTGTTTATGATTCGGGCAACCCCCGCACCTTCTTCATCCCTTTTCTAGCAAACCCCACTCATTTTGTCACCACACCCTATAATATTGTGAATTCAACATCTTTTCTATAATTTCTATAATTTTATGTAAAGCGCATAGAGGCACTGTGTAATATGCGCTATAAATGTAACCTATTATTATTATTATAACTGCTTTCATAGCATATTTAGACCCATGGAACAGTGGCTTTGGGGATTACGCCAAACCCCACCAGGGCTTCGACCCTGGACCTCATGCCCAGAGATCCACCCCCTTGAGAAAAAAAAAACCTGGCTACGGGCCTGATAAGAAGAATAACACGGTAACAACTAACGTTTAATGATATTTATAATAATGGAAATTTAAATAATGCCAATCGATGATAATACAGTAATATTATTGATGGTAATGACGATGATGATAACAATGGTAAACTAATAATAATAATGCTAATATTAAATAATAATAATAATATAATTATAATTAGTAAAATTAATAATATAGCCTAATTTTAATCATAATTGGACTTATTATATCTGTTTGTAAAACAGAACATAGGGCTTTTCCTCATTGCCTAAGGAGAAGTCATGACCCTCAAATTCACAACCGAATCTGGATCGTCACTCAAATTTAATAATTTCCTCCTTGTAACAACACGTTTGAATTTTCCCGTAAGTTGCATTCAGATCAGTTGATCAGTTTTTAGGATATCTGGACTGGGACGTTTACCTTTTTAAACGGTCTACATGTTCACACCCTACTCCGAATCGTCATCAACATTTATTTCTTCATGGAACCGTGATAAACTATTCTATAAAGTTTAAGTTGGAATGATTGGACAGTTTTTAAGATATAATTAGGTTTGTGACGTTAGAACTTTAAATGACCCTCAAATTCACACGCACACTGCTTTCATAAATTTCCATACTCCGGTTGTTCTCTCCATTTCCAGGATCACTATATTCGCAAACTAAAATTGTAATTCTTCAGTTGCCGAGACCTAAATTTAATAATTCATCGTGTCAAAACAAGCTTAAGAATAATTTTTCCTTTACCGCTGTCACCATGTTATGTTTTGGTAGCGTAACCATGGCGTATTAAATATAAGTATAAGCATGTACAATAATGCTTCCGGGTATCCACACTCCACTCTGCAGCAGCTCATCTCACGAATTACACAAGAAAAAGTTGTACTATGAAATCCAGCTGCTATATACAATCAAGTATTTCATTTTTAATTTCTAAACCAACTAAACATCAAAAACCTTGAAGATAAATAATATAATATTTCTTTCTAAATAAAATCACAACGGATTTCAATGAAACCATTAAGGCTAGGCCTGACTATTTTATTGTAACAATTCTTGACGCAAACATGTTTCAGCTGTACAACTGCCATCGTTGGTGTAATAATACTTATACGCACTTGGAGGTATTTATAGGAGTGAAGAATAAATGGTAAATAAGCGAACTAAAGCGTATGAAAAAAAGGTACGAATAAAGATGAAGAAATACTTGAGAACAATTGAGAGGCGGAGGATTGAGCCACATGGGTGGCGCCAGCAGGGCGCCGGCAACCAGGGACCCCCGTCGTGGAGAAAATCCACAATCCGCCGGGGAGAAAAAATGTATATGTATTTCCTACATATTAGAAGACACAAAATCAATTAAATAAGGTTTTAAAACTCAACCATTCTTTATAATATATTTTTGAGGCAAAAGTTGAGATAGCATAAGGTGATCGTTTAGTATCATATTAATATTGACCGAGTGGTATTGAAAATAATTATTGCTGTCGTGTGTAATAATAACAATTCAAAATGTGCTTAGCATCATACGAATACACTTCTTTAAAAATATTTCTTTTAATTAAGTAATATCAAATCGATTGATTTGTTAGAGGTATTCAAAATAATTTTTCCTGTCCCATATAAAACCGCTACAGTTTGCTTCATTTGCCCGCTTTCTTTCGCTTTCTTTGATTGCGACAAAGCACTTGGTAAATTCTTCGCCAAATGCTCTCCTCATGACTTCATCCTGGACGAATGCTTCGACTGCACTTTCCATGGTAGTTGGTATTTCTGACGTTTTATCAGGAACGTCTTCAGGCACATACGCAGATCCAGTGACGTTATCAGGAAGTGGCAATTTATTTTTTATGCCATCAATTCCGGCGGCAACTGTAGCTGCTAGTACTAGATACGGATTCGATCCTGCGCCACCCATGCGGTTCTCAATGTAAGTACATTCTCCATTGATCTTCACACGGACTGCGCAAGTGCGGTTGTCGTATCCCCATGTTGCATTTGTTGGTGCAAATGAGAAAGGTTTGTACCGCTTTCTACAATTGATGGTCGGCCCCATGAGTAGGCTTAGTGCTGCTGCATGATATAAATTACCGGCTATCCAGTATTTAGCAACTTCAGACAACTTGTCAGATCTAGAGTCGAGCATAAGGCTTTTTTTACCATCGACATCCCACAAAGAGTGATTATAATGGCACGATGATCCACTTGCGTTATCATATGGTTTGCTCATGAAAGTTGCCACTAGGTTGTGCTGTTTTGCGATTTCTTTGATGGAACATTTGTACGTAAAAGCATTGTCAGCAGCTTTAATTCCAAACGATGGTTTGTACGTGATTTCATGCTGTCCAGGTCCAAATTCATTTTCAATACTTTCGATATCTATTCCTACTTTCGGTAGATCTCGAACAAGTTGGTGGATGAACGGAGCACACTCGTACATTCTTATAGTCGATCGAATGTTGTAGTCATTTACCACAGGATTCCTTGTGTGTCCGTCGACAACATAAAACTCGTGCTCATGAGCTGAGAGCAGACTATATCCCATTTCATGCAGTTCTTCTAGTTGTTTTCTGGCAACGACTCTTGGATGAGCTGGTACAGGACTTCCTTCATACGTCGGTTCTATCAAGATTTTGGCAGTATTCTCCCACCACGGGATAACTTGGAACGTATCTAAATCTGGGAACATGATGGCATCAGCATAACCCTTTTCTTCATTGTATCCAGTTCCTGGAATAAAGTTAGACATTGAGTCCGCACCCAAATGCCCCATGTAAAAATTAAGACCATTCTCTGCCTTTGACTTGAAGTGACGAGCTGGAATTAGCTTTGATCTTGATATACCAAACATGTCTGTTTGTTCAAAACGAACAATTTCTATTTTGTTGTCTTTAATTCGTTTTAGTATGGACTCCATTCTGAAAATATAAAAAGAATATATAATATAAAATAATGTACTTTTATGAGCAAAAGGATCTTATAGGCATTTTAAACAAAATGTTGCAGTCACTGGATTTATAGACATCTATGCACAATATGCAAATATCCCTACTCAAATTATATATTGTTTTATTTTTGATCCGACGACCTCGTCCTGGCATCGGACAGGGGTTCAAGCCTGTCCGACGGGCAGTAGCAGCGCCTGCATCTGAAATCTGGGGAAAAGTGAAGGGGAAGGTACAATTTTTGGGAGGCAAGGTCCCAGACGAGAACAAATGGGCGTGGTCGGGTGTCAATGGTTGAACAGATTCAAATATCGCCAGATACAATAGGTACGACTAGAAACAAATAATTTCATATAATAAATCAAGATTGCCGTTAACACTGTTAAATTATTTAGAAAGGTCAAAGAAAGGTAAATACATTATTCGAATAAAGGACATAAATAATACATCGTGTAGGATAGCTTTCAACGAATTTAGTCTTATAAATAAATGAATAAAAAAATTGTGTTATAAAATGCTTCCGACGGGATTCGAACCTGCGACCTCTTGTGGTCTTATGGTTATGACGCTTGGATATAGAGGGCGTCAAAGAAAGACTACGTGTTTGGAATTCTGTCCGGCATCACTTACCTAATATCAAAAAATATCTTTATTTATGGTTTGCATCAAATATCAAATTGCATTCTACTACAATCTGGTATATACTAAGAATGTGATTCTTGCGCTATATTTTCAATATATACTGCTGTAAGAAGTCTTACTTTGATACTGATTTCACATAAGAGCGGGATACTTGAAACGAAGCCAGTCAAGGCGGTCGGTGTACCAGTAAACGTAGTGACGTAAGCTTGCATTATCTTAGTATTGATTTTTAATTAGTATCGCACACTATTGGTGCACTGCACCGTACCGGGGTATATTGTTCCGGAGTCATGATATCAATTGACGTTTGGGGATTGAGAATAGGATGCTACACAAACAAGGAACCAAGGAAAAAACGATCAGTCACTCACGGTCTAAAAGCACCAGGTCTCAGCCTCGACTATGTATATCAATAGGGCTTGTATTATCATGTATTTTGATCAATTCCAGTGACGTAGTGTAGAGCTTAATCCTGGTCCCAGACCCAAGAGACAAGGTACTTTAGATGAAGCTTTCGAACCAGAACCTGTTCAGCAAAATGCCCAACAAGATCAATTAAAACAGATTCTAAACGAAATGCGAGAAATGAGGAAGGAAATTAAACAAGATGTTCAAAGCATAAATAAATCGTGGGAATCTCTAACAGGCAAAGTAAATGCCTTAAATAACCGTATTGACAAAATCGAAAAGGAAAATATAGAATTAAAATCAATAAATGCTAATCTAGTAACAAAGATTGATAGAATAGAAAGTCAGAGCAGCAGAGACAACATGATATTTTGTAATATACAAGAACAACAAGGTGAAACATCGACGGATTGCGAAAAAAAATTAAAGAATTTTGCAAAAGAAAGCTTAGGAATACAGGTGGACTCAATCGTTCGGGCACATCGGTTAAATACCGTACTAAAGCCACACCCTGACCGATAAGTCAAATTTTCTAAGTATAAAGCTAAGGAAGAATTATTAAACAAACACAAAGCAAGAAAAAGAAGTATAAACAAAGAGGAAAGCACAAACGAGAATAAACAGAAAATAGGAATCGATGAAGACTATACTTCACGCTTGAAAAATATAAGGAAAAAGTTAGGTCCAAACATCCAGGAAGCTATAGCAGAAAAGAAGAAATTTCAACTTAAGTTTGATAAGCTGTATATCGGTAACTCAATATTTACAAATAACGAACAAGAAGACAAAGTCGTAAAGCTGAAATAGAGGGATGGTCAAGGCCCAAGGTCGGACAGTATTGACATTGTATCATGTTAATGTTAATGGAATTTCTGGTTAATTTCCGGTAAACTATTTAAAGAAACAGGATAAAATTTTTCTTAGTGAGACCTGGTTATCAAGGGAGGACAAAGTGCCTAAAATAGAAGGTTATTGGTGTATAAATAAAACTAGAAAAATTAACCGAAATTTACAAAGATGTTCGGGGGACTTGCAGTATTAATAAAAAATGACATTAAAATTATTGAAATTAAAATGAAGCATGATCAAATAATCTGGTTACGATGTGATAACAAATATAACAATCATAATGTAGTTTTAGCCTTTATATATGCTCCTCCATCAGGTTCACGATATGAGTATGACTTGTGTCAACAAATTGAATAAAATATGTTGTTATTGGAAAGTAAATATAAGGAAAGTTAATTTATCTTAAATGCTTGGACAGCTGATCTCAAAGATTATAATTGTATTCCATATTCTAAATATTTAGACTTAAATGACCCACCAGATCTATATACAGGTGAACGATTCCCAATGGATAAAAATGTTATTAGACAGGGTAAAGAATTAACCAACTCCAAAATGTGAATTTTAAACGGGAGGATCGGAAAGGATAAGGGTATAGGAGAATACACGTTTGTGAGCCATCAAGGCAAAAGCCTAATAGCTTATGTAATCGCCAGTAAATATTTACTGATAAATAATTTGTTTACCCATTTTGAAAATGGTGGTGCAAGTTTATCTGATCACCTACCAATTAAATTCCACATTAAAATCGATGTTAAATGTTTTGATCATTATAAAACCTGTGTTATGCAATCTAAATATATTTGGAATGAAGATATAAAAATAAATGAGGAGTTTATAAAAGAAAAAAACAAATCTATTGATAAAGAACTAGATCAAATCCGAAAAAAATAATTTAAATAATAGAGGATTGCGAAACACTGGTTAACAGACCAACAAAGGCAATATATAATTTAGGAGAAAAAATAGACAATCCTAGTAGAAGTACCAAACTAAAAACTCAAATAAATGGTTTGATAATGAATGCAAGGAACTCCGGGCAAGAAATGATGAAATGTACAATACATATATAAATACTATTAAAAAAGAATACAAAGATAAAATCAAGTTTAAGAAAGTCTTATAAGATAATAAAAGAAGGGTATATTATTTCAAATTTGCATGGCAATTTCAAACAATTCTGGAATACCTTTAAAAATAAAAAATATTGGGAAACAAATTTCTCATGTGCACAATGGTTTGAACATTTCCAGTCAATATCTAATAAGCAACATAATGATATTAGTCTTATGCCTCATCGTCCAGTACATCAGCAGCCCCTCCCATATACAGTACAGACGTTTGCTAGGTAACTACATGGTTGCACCTCCTTTCCAGGTGTTCATGTAACATTGACATAATTGTTAGCTAACCAGTTGTGTGTATTTCTTTGTGAAATTGAGTACCGCGGCGTATTCATTTTCACAAAGCATTTGCATCCCCTCTTGGAAAGAGGGATTCGAAATAATTGTCTCCATATCTTCGCTAATTAATCACCGTAATTTAGCTTACACTTATGAATTTTAGGGAGCACTTAAAATGTGAAATAATCATAATCATTCATTAGGCCTACATAATAGTTTCATATTGCTGTACTATATACTCAACATCACTGGCGCATGGTAACAACCGACTGCAGACCATTTCCGGTCACACATTACTCTCCATAACACAGCACCCCCTAATTCCGTCACCTCTGGGTATACAGTAATTTCATTTTACAGTAGTTTGGAACGATATCAGGAGTGGAGGTGGTGGCAGTGGCCTACTAGGACTACTGTACAATTTATTTGAAGCTATCTTGGGTCCGATCGTCCACACCAGTTGGGTCCAATCGTCTGTCACCCGAAGTTTTTATTACGATGATCAAGAACGTATACTACAGTATCTAGGTCCTAGGCTAGGCTTATATTGCGTCACTCTGCTACGTATACAACTACCGCATAACGAAGAAAGCGACCCACGCGGTGCATTCTTAAATTTTACATACATCATTAAAATGTATTAGACGATAACACGATATCACTGACTGAACGATCTACTACCCTCGCATCGCAGTAACTACTGTACTGAACTAGGCCTAGCTTGGCCTCATGTTTTTGTGGAAAGTTAGATAGTCATTATGTAGCCGACAGTCGGCTGCCTTTATAATCGTCACTTGTCTTCAATTTGCATTCAAAGGGTGCATTGCTACATAGCCAACTGTCGGCTGTCGAGGATATAGTACCTTCATATGACTACTCATACAACAGAAAAAAACATTGCATGGAGTTAGTGAAAAATGGAGATCTAAATGAAAAAACGATGTATTTCAGCGAGTAATAAAACCTTTTTGTTTTATTTAGGCCTTCTTCAAAATACCTATGCCACTGCAATCAAACAAGTAAGGCATCTGGAAGTGATAACCTCAGTAATCACGTTCTGAAACTTTGTGCTCGTCCACTTTCTGTTCCCATCTCCAATCTCTTTAATAAATCACTTCAAACTGGACAGTTCCCTTGTCTTTGAAAACATTCAAATGTTGTTCCTATTCATAAGGGGGGGGGGGGGGACCAAGAAATTCATCTCCAATTATGGGCCTATCTCGCTGCTACCAACCATCTCAAATATTTGAAAAAATTATTTTTAATCACATCTGGACTCGCGTTTCACCTGCCATTGCTTCCTGTCAACATGGTTTTGTGGCCAGTAGGTCATGCGAAACAAATCTTGCTAGCCTTCTGACTACAGTCTATAGAGCCATTGATGACAGGAAGCCATGACGAAATTCTTCTCCTTAGAAGAAATGGTCACTGGTGGGTTGGATGATTGATTGCTAATTGCCTGCATGCTGCCTAAACGGCCTTCACAATGAGTAAACAAGACCTTGGTAGTATTAGTAGGAGAAAATCAGACACAGCTCAGCCAGTACTGCTCCAATCATGGTCAAATTTCAGAAAGTATACACAATTTCTGAATCTAATGTTATTATTTGAAACATAAAATGTTTTAAACCAAAATCCGAGCATAATGAAAAAAGACAGTAGCTGTACGTCTGTGGATTTACTTTACGTTTTTCACGAATTTCGCGAACGTAAAACAGTGGGATATGACTTCTTTGGCCGCGCGAGATTTATTTGGAGCGCCAGTTGGGCATTTCTCCACACCGCATGTTGTGGCGGCGTATGCCTAACTTTAAGCCTTTGCTAAACTAAATAATTGCTCTCATGTCACACAGTAATATTTACGTATTTATTTTAGGTATTGTATGTATATAATAATTGCTTTCATGTACAGTATTATTTACTTATTTATTCCAGGTATGTGGATTTTTTTTTAAGTGTCTTACATTGAAGAATTGTAAAGCTTCAGTATTTTATTTGTTTTACAGAACAGTATTGTTATTCATTATACAATTTGAAACTGTAGGCCTATTCATTGTACAGTAATTCATATTTCCAGTATAAGTATAAGCTCCAGTATTTTATTTATTAATAGACTACAAAACGCATTTTTTTACTGTATTTTTATTCATATTTCTTCAGTTTCCTTTATCCACAAAATAGAATTTCGTCAAATAAAATTTAGAATGATACATGTGAACAAATTTCGTCCTTTATTCACAAAATAAAAATTTTTTTTAATAATTTTATTTTTATGTCTGTTGTCTGTTCATGTTATCTTTTCATACAAGAGCGGATGTAAAATAACGCATTAGCGAGGGTGATGAAAGTGTGTTATTTACAAGAGTTGGAAAAAGAAATCTAGAGTAAATTTATCAATCATTAGTCAATAAAAATTCTTTAGGAATACTCTCTATTCTCATGCCCTTAATGTACATACACTTTATATCATTAAAGCCAATCAATTAATTTACTCAATCAAATATTTAATTTATTGGTGATTTAAAATTCAGGTCTTTATATTTACATATACTGAATAGTAAACAAGTGCACATGTAAAAAATGAGATCTATATTCGATAACAAGCAATGATGTTTACCTTTAACAATTATTATTGTCAAAATGTTTAAAAATATTGCAAATATGTTGCTTGTGTTAACCATGGTGTAAGTTGCAGCTCAAAGTTTGCAATGTTTAATTCGTTACGATTTTTTCACAAATTATATAATTTTATCACTGAAATTTTAACACACTATAAATATTAATTGTTGCGACATGTTCTGTGTGTATAGGCCTATCTGAAACAATGTACTGTAAGCTTGAGTGTTTCTGAATTTGAGGTTAAGAATTGAATAGATATAATAGCGCTCATTCAACAACTGTATATCAGCGTGACAAACAATAGCGCGCATTCAACTTCCAATCGGCAAAGCACTCAAAGGGCGCTCCATACATTTTGGTGTTCGACAGGGCGCGGCCGAAGGTGTCGGCGGCCGAAGTTGGCCTACTTGGCGATCGGGAGAATACTATAGCCAGAAAGATGCATCAATATTTTATTATTAGTTCTCAAAAAACAAAGATGGTAATTTTGGTCATTTTCAATACACATATGTATTGAAAATGACATGGTGTATTGGTGTTTATGCTGGCCTAAATAAATGTAAGAATACGATTCTTTCTAGTCTAGGCCTATAGGCCTTTTTCACGAATCGGTAGACATCTTGAAGTGATGACAAACATTGCGAATCAGCGGTGCGTAACCAACAGAAATAAGATAAGCTTTTGGGCGGATTTTTTGACATCATGTTATTTAAAAAATCATAACTCTATAACGGGGCGTCGTATCCAAAAATATTTTCCAGCAAAGTGTTCTTAAAAGACTAGTCTACACCACTATATGATTGAAAAAAAATTGAAAAATTTTTTTGACCTCTGAAATCAAGATTGAAAAATAAAAGTCTATCTCAGTAGTGTATTAAAATATGTATATGCATTACAGTGCTTAGTACTAGTAATACTCTGAACTAGCATTGTTTAGTTACCATATGAGAGTTTCCTGTGTTAAAAACATGATTTACTATACTATACCTCTTTATAAAACATAACTTGTACTTTGTAATAAGAGAAATATGTATATTATGGCTACTTGGAACAGTAACAACACGAAAGTCCTATGCTACTGCACTGTAATGCATTGGCCTATTTTAATACACTACTGAGATAGGCTTTTCTTTTTCAATCTTGATTTCAGAGGTCAAAACAATTTTTGAATTTTTTTTCAATCATATAGTGGTGTAGACAGGTCTTTTAAGAACATTTTCCTGGAAACATTTTTTTTGGATACGACGCCCCGTTATGGAGTTATGATTTTTTAAACAACATGATGTCAGAAAATCAGCCCAGAAGCTTATCTTATTTCTGTTGGTTACGCACCGCTGATTCGCAATGTTTGTCATCACTTCAAGATGTCTACCGATTCGTGAAAAAGGCCTATTCTATTTATTTTATGATCGTGTGGCGTACAACAGCAATGTTTACTCACGTTCCCGGCTATCCAGGGGCTATTCTACAGCTTACACTGCAGCTGATGTATTTCAATCTAGGTTCAGAGAGT